TATCCAGCCAGAGTTTTAATTTCCTGAATTGCTTCATACACTTTTCCTAGTTGGATTGTGAAAATTAGAAACATTGTCCCTAAACATTGTTCCCAAGACTAATCTACAAAATTTATTCAGAGAAGTTTAGTTTCTTGCTTTTTGCTTCCATAGGAGTCAATGATATCCTTCCCCCATAGGTAATTATTTGTTTTATGATTTAGCATTCTATATTATAAATATAAGCAAAGATAAACATAATTATCTTTAAAATATTTTCCCATTTCTAAGATTAAATAATAGCATATTTACATTTTCTTTTACTGCTTTTGATATGATACATTTTTGTTGCAGTTTGATTAATGTCAGAGTAGTTTAAATTTATTTCTTCAGTCATCTTTATTGACTTATTTCATATCTGTTTATTTTTTATTTAAATAGTTTCTCAGTTCTTTAATAAGTAAATGGGAAGACAGAAAGGAATTCTTCATATCTATTTTGTATGTGCAAATCAGGAGTCTGTAACTTCTCAGTTGTTTCTATACACATCCCCAAACATCTTTCCAAAATGAAGTTAAATAATGTTATCTAAATTTTATCAACTTTTTTCTTCTCATGTGTTTTGACTTTTTTTTTCATTTTAATCTTCACCTGAGGATATTTTTTCCATTGCTTTTCAGAGAGAGTGGTAGGGAGGGAGGGAGAAACAGCGATGTGAGAGAGACACATTGATTGGTTGCCTCCTGCATGTGCCTTGACCAGGGCCAGAAACTGAACCTGCAACCAAGGTACCTCCCCTTGACCACAGTGGAACCCAAGACCCTTCAGTCTGTGGGCCGAAGCTCTAACCACTGAGAGAAACTGACTAGGGCTCTTTTGACTTTTTGTTTTGTCTTTAAAATATATATGTTAGAAGTCTTTAAAATGTTATTATGTCCAACAGTCTTACACTGGAGAGGCCATCTCGTTACACAGAAACTCTTTAGAAAGCCCAAGTTTGCATGTGTTTAAAATATGCCACCAACAAGAAGAACCTGAAAATAAAAAATATATAACAGTTGCAAAATATGAAAGCAACCAACAATTTCAGGTAGTGTGGAAGCTGCCTTTACTCTGATGAGATAAAAGGGAATAAATTGAGCAAAATCCTCTGTGTTCTTAACATGTGTTTTAAAAATATGCTTGCAGCTGCTTAGTGAAAAACTCTGAGAGTAAAAAGACTGGTAGAAAATAGGTGCAAAACACAGATCTGATGGAGGACTTGTATATAAAATATACAGAGAACTCGTAAAATTCATCAATAAGAAAACCCGATTTAGAAAAGAACAGAAGATTTGAACAGATTCCACTGGGAGGAAGATATACAGATGGCAAATAAGCATAGGAGAAGGCGCTCAACGTCATTTGTCATTAGGAAACTGCAAATTAAAGCAATAGTGATATACTATTGCCAACCTATTAAAATGGCCAAAATCCAAAAGACTGACAATAGCAATTACTGGCAAGGCTATGGAACATCCAGACCTCTTGCTCAGAGCTGCTGGGAATGCAAAATGGTACATCGCTTTAGAAGACAGATTCGCACTTTCCTATAAATCTTGGCACAGTGTTACCGTACAGCCCAGTAATAGTGTTCCTAGGTGTTTACCCAACTGATTTGAAAACTTATGCTCACAGAAAAATAAGTGTTTATAGCAGTTTTATTCATAATCACCCCAAACTAGAAGCAACCAAGACACCCTTAATAGGAGACTGGATATAAAAAAAACTGTGATATATCCACACAATGGCATATTAGTTAGTGATAAAAAGAAATGAGCTACCAAGCTGTGAGAGACATAGGTGAATCTTAAGTACATACTGCTAAGTGAAAGAAGTCAGTCTGAAAAGGCTACATCCTGTAGGATTTAAATTATATGGCATTCTGGAAAAGATTAAAAACTATAAAGACAATTAAAAAATCGGTGTCTTCCAGAGATTCAGGGGGAGGGGAGGAATGTTGAATACAAAAAGCACAAGGGATTTTTTTTTTTTTTAGGACAGTGAAACAATTCTGTATGTTACTACAATGATGGATACATACACTAAGCATTTGGCAAGACCAGTACATTGAAGAGCCTAGAACATGTGTACTCACATACACATTTTTGGGGGGTTCTATAAACAGCAACTTTGTTAAAAGAATTTTCCACAAACTGGCTGTCACTCCACTCATTTCAAACCTTGCTTTTCCTCCATCACCCACAGACTTCTGATGTCAGGTCCACAGGACACGTTTGCATCATGATACAGCTCCTGGCCAAGCCACGTACCTTTGGGCCATGGTGTCCTAGCGAATTGACACAGTGGTCAGTGGAAGTGATGCTGGGAGCTATTCCCACACCAGAACACCTTAAAGATAAGTGGAAGTAGCTGCAAATTTTACCAAAATATATGACCATGTGAACGTATTGCTAGACTCCCTCCCAGGACCTATCAAGAACCTCTCTAAGTGAGGGGTCCAGAGTTTTGGCTTCTTTAGCCTCACAGAAAATCAGCCTCTGGAAGCTAGGAGTCTTTAGAAGTTCTCATATTTTTTTCAGTTTTCAAGGTGAAATAGCAATCAAGATTATCAGCTAGGAGAGAGAATGGAGAGTAAGGGGGGCAATTTATGAGAAAAAATAATGTATGAATAGTCAGCCGTGAGAATGGAAAAGTGCATAGACCAGGGGAATGTAATTGTTTCCAGCATTTAGAGAGACACAAATAAATACTGTACTTACAGATAAAATATTTTTAGGTATTTGCCTTAAAATAATATGAAAGAGGGAGTGGATGAAGGGTGTAGATAGGAGACAGATAAAACAAGATCATTCAGGAGTTGAGTGAGGTCGAAGGTAGATATGGTTACATGGAGGTTCATTACTCTACCTCTGTCTACTTGGGTATATAGTTGACCCTTGAAAAACGCTGGAGTTCGGGGAACTGACCGCTCCCCACCCCACACACACACACTTGAGTTAAAAATCTGCATGTAACTCTGAATCCCAAAAATCTTTACAGTCGTCCCTCGGTATCCATAGAGGATTGGTTCCAGGACTCCTTGCAGAGAGCAAAATCTGCAGATGCTCAAGTCCCTTATGTCCCTTAGGTATGGAAGGATGCGTGCAGTCGGCCCTCGGCATCCACTGATTCCCAGCGATGGACTGAAAATACTGTTTTCAATCCATGTTTGGTTGAATCCATGGATGCAAAACCTGGCAATACGGGTAAATTGTTTTTCAATACTTATTGAAAAAAATCTAGGTATATGTGGATTCGTGTTCTTTGAGTGTCAGCTGTACTTCAAAGTGTCCATAATAAAAACCTGCAATGGGTAATATCTATTCAGATCAAATTGTATTTCAGTTCTACACCTCACTATTTGTATTAAATTTGGGAATTCCATGGTATAAATATTCTTGGCTCTAGCCCTCCTGTTATCTATCACTTAAAGGGAAAAGCAAGTAGTAATCCTCCTAACATATGAGATGGGTTGAGGAGGGCTTTGGAAGCCAGGTTGGGGAGTTTGGGCTTTATCTTGAAAATAATGAGAAACCAAGTAAGTGTTTTAACCCGGGAAAAATATCATCAGATATCTCCATTCACTCTCTACAATGTGAGCAACTGATTGAGAAAGGGCTGACTCATGGAGGGGCGTGATCAGTCAGGAGGCTCTCCTAGTTGGCTGGGCTTACATTGGGGGAGTTTAATATAAAGGGTGAGCATAGGAGGGAGCATCAGCAAGAAACTGTAAAAAAATAGTGTGAAATAAATGGTGCGTGCATCAAGTGTGGTGTCATAAAGCTGGGGGACTTGGTCTCAAGAGTCAAATACCAACCAGGGGTTAAGCAGGATGATCATTCATTGCCTCAACCACAATAGCCATAAGGGTGTTCGATCTTGCTGCTCCTCTTAGAGACATACACTGGCTTCCCATGGCCCCTAAGAAAAATGCCTGCCCTCCTTGTGGCATTCAAGGCTCTGGTCTCATTTCTCCATGCATTTCATTACGCTTTATATGCTCAGGACACACTCGTTTGGTTTGAGGGGTAAGCTGAGAAACTTTGTAAGTTCCTCCTCTCAAGGATACTGCTCAGACTGGGCATAATTCTCCTCTATCAAAATTTGTTTCATCCTGTGTTAGCCTAGATACCAGCTTCTCCGTGCTCTTCCATTTCTCTTTCCTGTGTGCCCTAAGCACATTAACTGGACCTAAGTTGTGCACTTGATAGATACTTCAGTGTGGCTTCATAGGAACAGTGGTTTTCCTATCTTCTCCCCAACTAAGTTGGAAAACTCGAGATCAATGTGTTAATTGAACTTTATCTTCCTTGATTAGCTTACCTATCTTAGTGACCAATAACTATTTATTGAATTAAAATGATTTCTTAGCCTCTTCTGTCTAACAACAAAATCTAGACTAATGACAAAGTTTCCACAGAAAAATTTGATGTTAGCTTAAACACTGAATCATGTTGTGAACATGTGTGGTAACCTTAAAATAGCAAATGACAGGGCAAATTTATGAGAGTGCATAAAATTCTTTATTTAGAACAATAAAGTATATGTATATATAATGTAATTTCAAATTCAAACCTGTATAAAAAAGGTCAGGACATATACCTATTTTAAAAAGTACACATACAGTATATACACATACACATCACATTTTACAACCTTTTTTATTTAATTAAACTTCAGTCATAATAAAACTATTTAGAATAGTGTTGACATACATTTACATTACAATATGCAAACTCCAATCTGACTGAACTAGCAATATATCTGTGCATCCATCTAAACATCTGAATACTTCTCACATCCACTGATTTAAAAAAATGTGGCAAGTGGGACACTATAATCACACATTAACCTTTAGAACATAGGAGAACAGGATATTTTGATTGGAAAATGTTATTTAGTGAGTCTTACAGCTCAGAAATCAAGTAACTGAAAATACTATGGTTTTTAGTTTAAACAGTTATCTTAATTTTGTTTTTAAAAAACAGCATAAGGATGTAGCTGGAGATGGCAGTTCAGTTTACAATGCTTAGCAAACATCTTAGGATCACGAATATCCATTTTAATATGGATTACTTCTAAAACAATAACTTGTTAGGAAATGAAACTATTATTACTTTATCTTTGCAAACTAAGGCATTTCCAGACTTGTTCATGGAAAGCAGCAACACCATATATTGTGTGATCCAGAGCCACAAAGGAACTAGTTAGAATTTCAATATGAATGTTTATATATTAATGCCAATTTCACAATAACATTGTTTCAAAGACAAGCTAGCTTATTTAAAAATTCTCATTCCACTTTCCAATTTAAAATGAAATTTATGAATTACCCCTTTCCAAATGGGTTCTAAATTACCTCTTGGCATTCAAAAAAACTTTATGAGCATCTTACATTTTCTGCTCCTAGCTTTTAAGAAAATGAGAAGATTTAAATGCTTAATTTGGTACTTTTCCAAATGTTACACACATCTTACAGTATCTCTTCCTGACTAAAACGTAATAATGCTTCTCAGGCTTCAGAGGTGATCCAAAAACATTTATTTAAGCAAAGCAAAAAGCCATCTTTTGTGTAAATGGTTATCCAACTCACCCTACGTGAGACTGAATTTCACTTTTACTAATGGACCCTATTTACATTACAAACAAGAACAGCAATGACTTTTTATGTTCAGATTGCTTATTCACAGAGATTAGAGTTGGCTATTTTTCATGGGACAGTTTCAGCTCTATTTTATCTTCTGTCAGTCATATATCAGTAGGTTTCCCACCTAACGTGAGCCCTCTGAGTTCGTCATATGGATAAATACAAAACTGAGACCCAGTGAGGGGAGGTGATTGACCAGAATCAGTCAACAGCAGAGTGGAGACTTATAGTTTTCCCAACACTTATCCTACTATGCCAAACTGCCTTTTGGAATTACATTTTGAAACCAAAACCTAGCTGCAGGAAAAAACATTAAGAAATATCGATGAATTCTGAATAGATTTTTTTTTTTTTAATTTAACTTCAAATAATTAGAATCCCAAAGTATGCCACAAAATTTCTCAAAGTATTTTAATGCTCAATGAAATGTGTTTGTTACTAAAAACAAACACTTCCTTATGGACACATACTTTTCATTTTCCACATACTTAGTCCTTTCTTAAGAGGATAGGTTACTTATTCAATTATTATATTTTAAAACAACAAATTTGTCTCTGATTCATTAAAAAGTGGCAGTATGGTCAGCACCTTAGATTATAATACAAAATCCTGGAACACTTTGATATCACCGGGCAGGAACAGTTGATCACAGAGCCAGTTTCTTTATAAACTTGGGTTCTACCAAAGAGGTGCAAAGCTTTAGGTATAATTTAGAATCTGTAGACTTCTGAGATCAGTTTAAAAGGCAGTTTTGAAACTGATTTATGAAGAAGAATATTCGGAACACATACTGGATGAGACAAAGCAAATATATATGTATTTTTTTATCTTAAAGCAGACATGACACAGTTAATGCCCAAGCAGCTAGCATCCAAAATAATATTCAGCATTTTTCTATTGTTCATGCATTTTATGGAACTTCAGTGTTTTAAAAATTGGTAATCCATATACTTCTCAATGAACCAATACATTTAATGAGGCATAGTATATCTCCCCTTGCCTACCATGCCAGATTTCATAACCTGCTGAATTTGTTTATTTAACTCTATTGATTAGGACCCTGTCCTTGAGGGTTAAAACCCAGATACCAGCTGAGAACAAAAGTACATTTATTGTACTTTCAAGCTCATTAAACGGGACTGTCACGTGCCTAAGAAAATCGAAACCATTGGTGAAACAAGTCGAACTATTAAGTATCAACCTTCCCAATCTACTCATGACCTACTCACATAGCTCATACTATCTATGTCTATTTTCCTCAAAACAATGTCACATGCCTGGGGCAGGTCCTTTCAGCAATTAAACTGATCTCTGATCTCTCGTTATATTACTCATTGATTATACCATGGGATATCTGAGGGCCTAAATAAGTCAATGCAGCTTTCCAAAGCACTGGGTTGTATCAGAGAAAAATGATTAGTGTTCGAGGAACCACAGCCGTTTAGAGAAGGGATCATAGAAATCATTTGGGCTCTTTGGTACAAAAAAAGAGCAAAGGCCACGTATTGAAGTTGTATTTGGATTAGCTTTGAACATAAGCTAAAATCCAACGACACTAAAAGTTCTCAGACTCTAGAAATCGAAGGAAAGCTAGCAGTGAGTTTTTCATGCCCTTCTGAATCACTGCATTGCACATGGTCATCGGATGGTGGTAGCACACGGCAATGTTATTATGAAGATTAAGTCATAATGGAAAGCTTTGGATTCCTTTAGGTGTACATTCATGATAGAGTAAAAGAACTTCCTTCAAAATAAGCCATAAGAAATCATTCTTTGACTTTAGTCAGATGTTTCTTTGACCATAAAAAAACAACAACAATTAGCAAGGGAAATTCACACAATGTCTTATAAGTTGTAGTTTAAAAGCGCAATGTCCACCTTGGGAATTCCTGCCAAATTCACTCTTAATATGACAAACACTGTCATACATTTTAAATAGCAAACTGACATGCATAACTACATAAAGCTCTCTTTTTATTTAATTCATAAACCTTAATGGATACAGAGTGCCTGGTTTTAAATAAATGGATCCTTTAAACAGATAATGGTGATTATACTATAAATAAGTAGAGTTTCCTGATTCCTTGCATTCTTGAAAAAGCCAAGTAACCTAGTTTCAACACCTGGATCAGCATGTGGGTGTGGATTTCTAACCTCAGATACTAAATATCATAATTTATTTTTGCTCTCTCCCATGGCAGACCTTCATACATCCAGCGATTTCTCCTAGGTGCCTTCGCATAAGTCTGTAATAGTTTCAGAATATAAACGTTTTGTAATCTATTTTGCAAGCATGATTTATACACTCTTACAGTGGTCAAGGGAAAAGGCCACCTCACCAGGGGTGACAAATGCCCTCCTCGGCGACTGTCCTGCTGTTTGTTCAGTGTTCATAGCTTCTTTGTGCGATGACTCTTGGGGAGTCTGCCCTCCGCAAAGGCATCACTGTTCCAACCCAGCGCCGGCTCCTCCGCATGGACAGACCCAGCCAACCATGTCCATTTGTCCAGTGGGATGTGGGTGAGCACGGTTTACATCAGGAAGAGACCGAGGTCAGGCCCATATCACTAATCAGCGGCTAAAAGGCTGACCGGGTACCTACTCCCATCACTTTTTTCTCCACTGCTTTTTGGATGTGCCGTGGCTGATCCTATTGAGTTTTTGTCTTTAAAATTCTTCTAGATCCCTTTGAGAAAAATTATTACCCCGGCTATCCAGGCTGAACTCTACTTGAAGGAACCAAGATAACTACAAACTGCAGGTTGTAACTAAAAATAAAGCTATGTGGCTTTTCAGCAATTAGACATTTCTGGAGGCATGCAGAATGGGCGTGCAGTCTGGGACACGTGCTTTCTCTCCCAACAGCAGTTGCAGGTTCTAAATGACACTACAAGTCCCCCGGGTCCTTAATATAGAGTCCTGCTCCATGCAAGTTCTTCTTTATAGATGATTAATTCAGTGCCAGTTTCACAGTAAAACACTTTGTTCCAATTTCTGAATCATCCATATAGAGTCATGGGTCGCAAGAACAGGAAAAGACACGGTCTGTCACTCCAGACAGAATATGAATTTGTTTAAAGCTGCTTCATTTATGAAGCAAACATGAACTGTTACCCGCCTAGAGAGAAAATACAAAGAGAAAGATTAGGGCGTATCTGCTTTCTGCCTCCTTTTCATTCTCAATAGCTGAATTCATAGGACTACAGAATTAGCAACAGGCTTACAATGTATGCTCCACTTACACAGCCCAAAATAACTAGGGACAATGTTTCCCTAGATGCAGTGATCAATCACGCTCTACGATCTCCCTGGTAACATCAAATATTATCTGAAATGATCTTATTGTTTATTACCTGTCTGCTCCTATTGAATGTAAGCTCTGTGAGGACAGGGAGCTTTGTCTCTTTTTCCCTTCCTGCCATTACTTCAATATCTGGTAAAGTGCCTGGCACAACGTAATATTTAATACCTATTTCTTGCATGTAAAAATGGATGAATGGCCTGGCCGGAGTGGCTCAGTGGTTGAGCATCAACCTATGATCCAGGAGATCGAGGTTCGATTCCCGGTCAGGGCACATGCCCGGGTTGTGGGCTCGATCCCCAGTAGGGGTGCGCAGGAGGCAATTGATCAATGACTCTGTCATCATTGATGTTTCTATCTCTCTCTCTTACTCTCTCTGAAATCAATACATATAAAAAATAAAATTAAAAATAAAATAAAAATGGATGACTGAATAGCCTGTGGCTTCTATACCCCCAAGCATACCACAGATTATTTTCATTTGCGGCAAAAGGGTTATCAACCTATGTAGCCTTAAATTTCTCTAACAAGGCTATGAAAAAGAAGCAGACAGGTAGCCAGGGGAGAGCATTTGAAGGCCAAAGGCAGTGATTAGAGAGAGGTGAAGTGGGAAGAGACGGAGTAGCATGAAGGAGATATCTGGGACAGCTGGAGAAGCTGGTCAGAGGCCACCAGCCAGTAACCGCCTCCTGGTCACTGAGCAGAGCCGCCGTCCGGGCCGCCTGGCCAGGTTCTAGCCATGACTTCTCCCAGCGGAGGAGATGGCAGCAGCAAGGTGTCATTCCGTACGGTCAAACAAAAACCAGAAAGACAGAAACCCTGGCAGCACATGCTCACGAGGCCTCTGGAAGGTTCATTTGGCCTCGGCACAGCGTATTGTACTTGTTGAAGCACGAAAGCCAGACTTTGTTTTAGTTCTTCGGTGCTGCTGTTAACCGCTGAGCTTTGGACTCAGCTTTCAGATTTCGCAACTTTCAAGTGAAATATTTGTACTTCCTTGTCTATTTTTTTTTTAATTACAGACAGTATCTTCATGCTATCTTCCATCACAGCCCCTAAACATGCATTTTTGCATTTCTTTTCTAATTCATTCCTTTCCCCGTCTTTGTTCTTATTTATTAATTCCAGAATCACAGATGACTGGTTTTAAGATATTTGAGATCACTGCACAGGTTGTGTATAAAATTCCGTATTATGAGTGATAAGAAGTGCAGGATTTTTTCAAGTCTTTCTAAATGCAGTAAACTAAAAACCATATTACACGACAATTTACCAAACAGAGTGCACTAGGAACTAGAGAACCTGTGTTTAGGGAAGCAGCATTAAATCCTGGAGGAAAATTAAGAGGCATGAAGAGAAATCTTCAGAAATCCAAAATACACAGCAGATATTTTAAAAACAAAGCTTAGTTAGAAAAGCAAAAGGGAATCACAGAAAAGCAAAGGGATGTGTATATACACATATGTGTGTGTGTATATATATGTATATGTATGTAAAAGCTATGAATAAATTACAATTATAAATTTAAATACAGAAAAGCACGGTTAGAAATCTATTTCTGATTTTGTCCCTGGATTATTTAGTAAAGAAAATAAACTTGAAAGCTGACAACGGTTTTCCCATAGAATAAAACTGTAATTTTTACAATACCACCCTGGGATTTTTGCAACAATTTCATGAAATAAGCAGGGTGAATATATTATCCCATTATTATATGAGAAAAACCAGGGCTTAAAAGACAACTGACTCATTCAGGAACCTACAGCTAGTTAAATATTCAGAGCCACGGCTTGAACCCAAGTCTAATCCCATCTAATCCTTTGCATCACAATGCGTCTACAGAAAAGAGCTCGAAAATAAAAAACTCCAAAGCTCCACAAATTCTTAGGAAATATCTGGTAAGAGTCTAGCCATTTGGTAGCCAATCATTCCTATATCCTGTGCCCTAAATGAACAAATTTGACTCAAGTTCATCTGCATTCCAATTGTAGGACCTACTGCGGTTTGTCTTAGGTCTATCGGAAGCTCCCAGGTTGTGTTTTGTTTAGGAAATCTCTCCACCAGCCTCATTATAATACAAACTATTTTCTACTCCTACCATGCTTGGGCAAGTCAATAAACACTGCTGAATGTCTACAACTCATGCTGTTTACTGTCAACCAAACTGGGCCTTTTGGGCGACTATGCAGTCCTTCGACCAGGGTCTCAAAATTCTTTGTAGATGACTCCCAAATCTATTATTTTCACCCCTGCCTGTTCTCTGAATTCCAGTCTAACATATGTGGCACAGGTCAATATTTACTAATAGCTCCTTCTCTTTTCTTTGAACGGCACTACCATCAGGTTAGTCCCGTAAGTACTTCCAGTTATGTTGAATCTCACAGCTCTTCAGTAACAAGGATTTGTTGATTCTTTTACTGCAAGGTTTCCAAAATGGTCCATGCTTTCCTGTTTCTGTGGCCCTGACCTTAGTTCAGGTCAGCATTCTCTCACATCTGTTTAGAAGATCAGCCTCCAAAGTGCACTCACTGGCATCTGATTACTTTCCTAAAACTCTGCTTTGATTGTATCATCTTTTCTGAACCCTTCCCACAGCTTCTTATGTTACTCAATAGCGTATAAGTCACATAACTGGGAATTTTTCAAACTGATCCCCACACTTTCTTCTCAGCACTCTCTCTCTTTATGTGTGACCTCCAACTGAACAAACTGGCTCTGGAACACACTCTGTACTTTTGGCCTCGGACTTAGCTTATGCCATTTGCAATATTCAGATTACCCCTTCCCTAGTGCTAAGAAATTTGTACCCATCATTTGACATCTAGCTCAGTACCAGTGCCACCTCCATTACCTACACAATGAAGCCTTTCTCCTGTTGCTAGTGATTTTTTTTCTCCCTTCAAATAAAACAACTGTATATGGGTTTGCATGGTACGATTCTAAGGGGTGCCACCCAGACCACTATCTAGAGCTATGTTGCAGGCACATCCTGTACAACCATATGCAATGGCCTTGCCTTGGATCTCTTACTGCATCTTCCTTGTAAGCTCCTTTAGCTACTTTTTAAACTTTTAAAAGTAGGTTATTATGCATATGTCCTATTTCCTTTTGTAGGCTATAAGCAATTTGAGGATACAACTAGGTTACATAAAGCTTTGTATCCAATAATGCACCTATTAGAGTTTGTGGGAAGAGTGAAGAGCAAGATTTTCCTATAATATATTTTCTTTCTTTCTCTTAAACCGTGCTATACACAACCCAATAAATGAAAAGTTCTTGTGGGGTGCTACATATGAATACTTGTCATCAGCTAATTGACCAAGTGGATTTTTAACTTTTCTTGTAGGTACTTTTCACGTTTGATGTTAAATAAACACAGCTTTAGTACATTTTCTCTCAGAGGTCATTATCTTACATTCCTTCCATGTTCTATTTTTGAAGTTAAAATATCAAATGCTCCTCTTCATATAGTTATTTCCTTTGGCGAACTAAGTGTCCCATTGCTTTCTGTTCTAGTGTTCCAATATTTTTCCTGATTTAATTTGTTTTAGTTACTGAAACTTCCATCTCAGGGAGAAACCCTCTCCATAAATCCCGACTTATTCCCTTTGGACTTCCCCCCTCTTGTTAACCAAGAAAATGAATATAATCCAAATTATGTCCAATTTTAAAAATATATAATTACAACTCATTTCATTTCTATCTTGGTACTTTTTACTACTGTTGTTCTTAGTTTTCAGCACATTTCTTCTACCATGTCAGTCAGCTCTCCCAAACCTTTCCCTCCACCACATCCTTTGCCCCAAATTATGCTCAGAGTTCCTTGGGAGTTTTAAACTTGTCCTGGGATGGGGCCAAGCAAAGGCTTTCCTCTATACAGTGGGTACCCCATAAGTGATTACAAGTGATACACATTTTCACTTTGGAGCCTGCAGATTCATGATAATGAGCTGCCTCTTTTTCCTTTCTTCAGCATTTGACTTGTTTACTTCCACATACACAAGTCTATTCTTGTTGTTATTTTAAATATATCTTTATTGATTTCAGAGAGAGGAAAGGAGGGAGGGAAAGAGAGAGAGATAGAAACATCAATGATGAGAGAGTCACTGATCAGCTGCCTCCTGCACGCCCCCTACTGGGGATCGAGCCCGCAACCCGGGCCTGTGCCCTGACTGGGAATCGAACCGCGATCTCCTGGATCCTAGGTCGATGCTCAACCGCTGAGCCACGCCGGCCGGGCCTATTCTTGTTTTCATTTCCATAAATTTTATTCTCACATTATTGCAGTACTCTGAGATAGCTCATTCACCTCTCCATTCATTTACTGAACAAATATTTATTTGATCACTTGCATGCACAAAGTATAAGCTAAAGAGTTTGGTGGGATTCCAAAATGAAATTCGGAAACCTTGTAAGAGCTTATGGCTTAGAAGAGGACACATGTCTATGTAACTTGCTGTGATGACCTACTAATATATTAGTATTATATGTCATATGAAATGTAACATGAAACACAGAGGGCCATAGAGAGAGACTACCTTCATTAGGGCAGTCCGCTTTTTGGAGGTTGTGTATCTGCGCGGAGTCCTGAGAGAGCTTTGCAGAGATGAGGGGAAGGTACTTTATGAAGGAGAATGACACTTCATTTTACTGACTACTCGATATATGGTAAGTTTATTTCTAAAAAATTCAGGGCTTCGTTTTTCACCTATTTGATTTGATTTGATTTATACATGTACAATAATTTATATTTTAGGAGAAATAAGTTAGTCATTTCCCATATGAGTATATTCCCCCTTGCTGTGCACACTTTACTGTTCTAGTGACCAAAATCAGCAAATTACACACACACATGCACACAAGATAAAAATAAACCCTATTTCACTTTTTAAAAGATAAACTTTTTTTTTCAGTTTTTTGAGGCAAGAACATGTAATGTGAGATCTACCCTCAACACACTTTTATGTGTACAATATAGCACTGTAAACTATAGGCATAATGTTCTTACTGCTTGGTAAATTTTCATTTAGCGTGTATTCATTCACTCAGTTGTTCATTCAACAAACATTTCCTGAGAGCCTACAATGCACAGGCAATAAGTGAGGAGACACAGCAAGAACCAGATGGACTTAGCTCCTGTCCTTGCATGTTCCCCTAGTAGACAGATGCATAAGTTGCTTGACTACAATTGCTTTAAGATGCCTTTTTTTTTTCCCTCTTAAACAAGTGCCCTGGGTTTTCCCATCACATAATCAACTCTCCAGATGTCACAGGACAAATGCTACAATTAAAAACCACATGATTAAAGACCTGTGTGCCAAAACAAGATCCCAGCAATGCAATCCAGAACCAAACAAACAAAGACATTACTTGAGTTTTTAAGACTCAATTAACCATTTGCTGTATGATTTGTGGATGCCTGGCTTAGGAGAACTGAAATGACAGGCAGGGAAGATACAGTGAGGCTTGTGCTGGGGTTGAGGGGCAGAGATATAGGTTTCTAGGAAAAAACAATGATTTCATCTTGGGGAATATAACTCCAGAAAATAAAAAAGCCGAGCTAAGGGTGTATACATTTGCTTTGGACACAGTGATCAAGGACATGATTAAAGGCAAAAATAAGTCTGTGCAGTAGCAGGGTTAAAGTGTCAGAGAAATATGTGGCATGATTATTATTATAGCATGTTATTTTGGATAGCTGAAAACGATGTTCTATAACTATAATAAACAGTGAGCGCTCCCCTGGAGGAGGCAAAAGGCTCTGTGACCCAGTTTCCCTGGTGAAGTTTCAATCTAGAGATAAATGTCAGAATCTGGGACAGAACTGAAAGTCAGGACAGTGACCTGTAAAGAAAAAGCCCAGGTCACCACTGACCATATCTATACCATCTAGGAGAGTAAGTGATCCTCTGATCCTGAGAGGATGGGAAGAAATAAAAAGCACAAGAGACCACTCATACTCCACTGTAATAAATGCACTCAGGATTCCCCAGGGCATAACAAAAGTAAGAGCCAGTTAGCAGAAGTGAAAGTGAGAAGAGCGTGACTCTATGTTAGACCAGGTTAGTGCCACTCAGGGTGCTCCCCCAACAGTGTCTGGAGTTCAGGAGCTGGGAGAGGAGATGTGAGCATCAGTGCCTCCTGGACATGATTGCTCCCTCCTTCCCCCCACAAGCCCTCCACAGACCCACACAATCACTGCAGGTGTCTGTCAATGGTTCATATTCAGTGTGTCCTGGGCTTTGTACTGTGATGAGGCGTAGTGATTACCAGTCATGTGGCAGGTGACACTTTACCTTGACAATTTCCCTCTTCTGACTGTAAGATATTTTAACCTTTTCTCCTTTTCCTAAAAATGGCAGGGAAGTATTTTTTGTTTTTTGCTCCTTTCAGCATCTAATAAATGAAATACTTTTTCTATCATGTTACAGTAATGACACCTAATTGAAATTGATTTTATTCTTCCGCTATTAATATTTCATTTTAGTCCTGATTTATTCTATACTCTTGTGTAATTTATTTTCTGCCCTCAAAAATAATAAACACTTAACTGTTAATGTTTTATATATCTCCCATACAAGATGAATTGTCAGGACTAACATTGCTTTGCCTTTCAAAACTTCAGAATATAACTAGATTTGAAAAGCACAGTTCAATTATGTAACAGCTTTTCAGTTAACATACTGGCATCAGCTTAACAGAAGACAATACATTTTGTTTCTAAATTCTGGAGTCTAAGAAGCTTTATAGTTCTTGTTAAATCTTTCCACTTGAATTCTAAAAACTTACCAATGTACGAAAGTAACAGTGTTGATACAGCCACAATTACACTTCTTGAAACTCTCTCTCTTTTTCTTGCAACATACTAAAAAACAATAAGAAAAATGCTTATTTGCTTTTGGACAGAAATTCTGAAGTACATACACCATGATCTGAGCATTGTAAAAGGCAGATTAATTTTTCTGTAAATACAGTAACAAAAGGTTGCAAAGCTGAGTAGGAAGCTTACCTTCATAAGTATTACTGTAAGGATGGGGGAAGACTTTATCTGCCTAAATATAGTCATAAAATGCAAGTAGATTTTAAAATTCTCTATGCATATGCATATACACAAACCAAAAATGCTTATATGCGTTTAATACGCATTTATGTGAATGTATATACATAGCCATGATCTGAGAGAAAGTAACATGACAAGTAAAAGTTATAACAATATAAAATCAAAGTATCAGTACTGGGGCAATATGGCATAAGGTAAAAACGTGATCAGGGTCAGCTATAGTAAATGGAAAGGTATCTTAAAACAATTTTTATATTTGACTTTGGAGAAAATAATAGGTTGGGGAAAAGGGCTCTAAAAACTAGAGTGAAGTCAAACATATTAAGTATGCAAGAGAAAAATCACACTAGGAAGAGATATTATGAACCAAAGTTTAAGGAAAAATGAGACAAAGACAGAGTTTAGAGGGGCAAAGTAAAAGAAAGATTCTGTGGCAGCAACTCGGCCAAAGATTTGGATAAAGATAATCACTATAGCCAAAAACAGAGCTTGTGAGAGACTTGAGAGAGGAATGGGTATGTCTTGGTAACAGTGTGGAAAAGGACAATTAAGCAAACGTGACTACGACACACCATGAGTAGGAGTCTGAGCAAAATTCGGCTTACAGAAATAGAGAGGACCGCTTCTGATACCCTAAGATTATGAAGGTATTCTACAGGGAAATGTAGACAGATAGAGGTTAGAAGTGTGGACAAAGACTTGGAAGACACTGGTTGGGAGCTGCTATTATAAGAGTGAACCACAGCTTACAGACATGAGCGTGTGTATGGTACGTGAAATGACAATGGAAAACAAAAATACCTTATCTCATTATCCTCTTCATTAATCTGTATATTTTCAACTGCCCTTGTAAGATTTGGTTGTTTCTTCTGGAAAAAGAACAATGATATATATCGTGAAAATATCAATGAATCCTATCATATTTAAGAGGTAAGTGGTCTCCGCTATCTTTTATGTCAGTAACTCCACAATACCAGTTTTCTTCAGCATGCAGCATGATGTAAAATATTTTTCCCAGTAAGAAATTATAAAAAGAGCCTGATATTATCGACTCAACATTTTTAGAATGTTGGAGGGAAAAATGTAATGAAACTGAAAGAAATAGTCATCAAATTCAAAAGAAATTTCAAAAAGCTGAATCACAATGATCTAGCACATTTAAAAATTTTCGACAGGCTTCAGTAAGAAGAAAACAAAAGAGTCGAACTTCAAAATAGCAAATAATATAAATAATATTTCTGTCTGGCTTTAACCACGTCATAAGATTTTCAGCATATTTTCTTCCATTTGGTATTTAGTTAAAGCTGTTAAAACCAGTTCCTATTTCTTAAGTGTGCATTCTTAGCCACAGTTGTCTCCAAAGTGTAACAGATAATGTAGAGAAACCTTTCCAGGATTTCAGTGTTGCTGAGACTAAGTTAAGGTTGAACTTCACCTATTTTATCATTTTTCTGGTGAGATCCTTTCTCAGAAAAGGGCAGTTTGTTTGTTAATCATTTATGTAAATACAGCTCAGGAAGTTTCTGAGAAAAAAAAAAGAAAGAAAGCCTGGCCAGTGTGGCTCAGACATTGAGCATCAACCTAGGATCCCGGAGATCGAAGTTCACTTCCCGGTAAGGGCTTGATCCCAGTGGGGGGCGTGCAGGAGGCAGCCAATCAATGACTCTCATCATTGATGTTTCTATCTCTCTCTCCCTCTCCCTTCCTCTCTCTGAAATCAATAAAGACATATTTTAAAAAAAGAGACAAAAAAAACAACACTTACCTTCCAGTATAAGGCTCCAAAACCAAAGCCAATTATAAGAGAGAAGAGTGCTGGCAGTGCCATGGCTGCCCATTGCAGCTTGGAGTCTCCAATGGAATTCAAGGCCTTCCCTGTAATTTAAGTGGGACAGTGGTGAACACGTCATATCCACACCAGTGGTTCTGCTCCTATTGCTCTGGTGGTTCCCAACTGCTTCCGTAATCACTCTTGACCCATCTCTGTTTAAAATATTTAAACCGCTGATGTTTCTGCTGAGTATTGTTTTGGAATGGAATACAAATCCATGTAGTCTCCAAAAGGTCAATACATTAAAAAAGGAAAAAAACCCACAGACAAAAGGAAATTTGACTTGGTTAATGTTGCTGCATAGGGAATACAAATGGGATGCATTTGGGGGGGGGGGATTTATACACCCAAGCAAATGCATCTTCTACAGCTTTATCTTCTAATATCTTTCACTTTCTCATTCTTGACATCTAGCCAAGCGATTTTAAAGATGACACTTTGTAACCCAGATCAAGGTCTGTGTGCATTAAGCTGTGTCTGGCCTGCTACAAATACTGTCAGAAATCCTATGTACATTTTGGTTAGCCTACTTTTAGGTGCCTCATGCTTAAGAATCATGGCGTTTCCTCATTGCATCTTCAGGGTACACTTATTGGATGCCAGGCAGTAACTGGCACTGTGCTCTGGACTAAAGGTTTGATTTCTCAGGCTTTTTTGGAAAGCCTGAGACTACTGAACATTAAAACACGGCTGAAAGCACCAGTGTCTTCCCCATTGCTTTCTGTAAGTAAGTAACTTACGGTGAGAGGAGACATATGTTAGCTTGGGACACCTTCCTTGTTCCTGCTTTGCTTTTCCATGAGAAGCAAGATGATTTATAATTTAAACAAAACACATCCACCACAGGGTCTCTCCCTCCCAACACAGAGCGTAACATTTTGACATATTTTCCTCTGTTTCCTGATAGGGAACGACTTTGTTGTTTGGAAACATTGACACGTGCCATTTTGGAAGTTAAAAATCTCAGTTTTCTTTTGAAGATGCAATACATTTGGAAATCATACAGTTTCAATGATTATATTATCAAAATGTAAACTAATCCAAGATAAAGCGACTGCTTTGGGCTATGATATTTTACCATGATATTCAAGTTACTGTCAGCCTGCAGTCACCTATTTAACATGTAAAGTACCTAAATATAGTACATAATATGAAAGAACTGAATCACTGTACATGTATCAACATTGACCAGGAAAAAATAAACTCATAAATTTAACCTGAGAGGCAAGAAACAAATCTTATCTTCTCTAGTAAGAACAGGAATTGCCTACCTTCCCACCATTTATAAACAAAGTAGAAAATTCATCAATTTTATGATTCCTGTGTTTCCAAGGAGGCTCTGATAATAGGATATGTACGCGTGCTCATGTGTGTGTGCTCACATGCGTGTGTATGTGCTGGGGGGCAGTGAGTGGTGGGTGTGTACAGTAAGAGACAGAGGGACTGGGTAAGGAAGTGGGGACTTCCACTCACATAACAATGAATGGTTTCCTTAAGACTTGATTAACAGTTTTTCTGGTCCACCCCACATCCTACAAGCCTGTGGGAAATACAGTTTAGGCATATTAAATTGGAGCTCAACATGAATTCTCTTGCCAAAATAAGCCTGAGTTAAAAAATAGGATTTGGTATAACTGAAGTGTGACTATTATTACAATCATAGTTACTTTAAGGGTTATGTGCACTAGTCTGGGATTGAACTGCCATTTATAAAAGTGTTTTCTAGAAGAAAATGGATTTAGAATTATAAGCAATTCCTACTGTTTTAGGAAGTTTAAATGATTAAACTGTTTGTGTTTGTACTCCAGTAACATATTTGAATTTTCCTTAATAGACAACCCAATCCTGGGGTTGCTGGTGTATAATTTTGATAGATTTCATTAGGTAACCTCCCTGAAGAGACCCTAACCAATATCTATAGAGAGAACAAAGGAAGCTATTGATTTTTGTCCCCCAACCCCAGTGGAAAACCAACGAGCTAGGATGGTGCCAGGGAGAACTCCAAGAGCTATGTTTGCGTAGCCAGATACCCTGCACTCCATGCTTTATCCAAAGGCCAGTATTTGAGCTGCGCCATTCAGACCAGAGAAGACACCATGCCCAACTAGCAAAAAAGCAGGAGCTTACTAGAGAGCGAGGTCTTCTGGGATTCCCTACTCAGAATCTTTCTCAGGTAGGACAGGCCCCTAAGGAGGTGGTCCAAACAGAGCCCTGCTGGAGGAGAAGCCGACCTAGGGACAGTTCACCTTGCTCTCTGAGTACTGTGGCTTTTTAACCGCTTTGAAAGTTCCACCCTAGGACTATGGCAAAGTCCTGGAAACTGACTCTCCCTCCAGCAGCAGCCCTCCTGCAGGACAGAGAGGGGGAGAGGCCTGGTGAAGACTGGGGGGACAGGACCACAGGAACTGAGCTTCACCTCCTCAAGTTTTCCTCAATTTTGTTATTTCTTCTGTTAATTTAAGTGGCATAATATGCAGGCCTTTTGGTTCTCTCTATGACACTGCCACCTCTCTTGCAGGGAGAGAAAAAATGTTATCAGAAAAGGCTTGCTTGCATCTCTAGGGCCTGACTCCCAACACTGGCTACTGCTGCTATCCTCCAAGAATCAGTAAGATTTGAATCAGGCGCCTCAAGGCCCACCTGAAAGGTATATGGGGCCAAAGCCCAAGCCAGAAACAAAGCTTTGCTGTTAAGTAAAAATTGCCCAAAGAAACATGGAGTGAGGGAGCTCATCTGGATAGGATTTGGGTAATCCCAAATTCCTGGGTTGTTAACATATTGATTGTATCTCAGTGCTACAAAAACTTTCCACTGTCCAAAATTCGTGGGAAGTGGCTTGTTTGGTTTGACTAATAATACCCAACATCTGTACAAATACAGAGCACAAAAAACTGTGCTACAAATTTGCTGAACTCCTTTTTAGATGAGTCTGTTTATAGGCACCATGCCTGTGAACAAGGATCTCTTGGAGCTTAGAAAACACGCTACTCGGTGCTGCGACTTGGTTCAGACCCAAAGTTCAGCACAGACTTGCTAGTCACTTACCCACAGCCTCAGTGCAGCCAACTGTTCTAATAATTAATGATGGACACACACTACATATATATCAGGCATGGCTCCCAGTACACATCTGATAACACTTGAAATTCACAGAAACCCTAGAAAGGAGGTATTATCCTCTATTTGACTGTGGAGTCCAGAGAGATTAAGTACCTTCCCAAGGTCATAGAGCTAGGCAAGGGCTGGGATATAACCCCAAGTCAGGCTGTATTTCTAGGTGTGCAAGGTAATGTCAAAGTAAGGATTTCCTTCAGTGTCATTTAAATACTGTCTGCAAGGATCTCAAGCATTTTAAAAATATCCTTTATACAAAAAGGAAGAAAAAAAAATAAAGCAAAACAAATAAAAAAAGGAGACTGGCCATTCATTTTTGCAATTTAAAAAGTACCTTCAGACTCAGAGGCACAGGACTGAATGGGTATTTTGCACTCAGTTTGTCTTTTAAAGTAAGTAGAAAAGACTTTTGCTTCTAACCATGATGGTAGCAGATTAGCCTTCCCAAACTAAAGAATTACTGTACTAGACAAATTAGGCAACTGTTTTCAGACATTAGCCAACAGGTAGCACAAGAGTGTAATCCTCGAGGGAGCAAAAACACACACGGTGAGACCCATGACTGTCCTGATTTTCTGGCTGGGAGGCACCTTCAGACCGAGGCCTGGAAGACAGAGCCCAAGGAAGGCTCAGCATTCTCCCTGAGACAGGAATCAGACCAAGCGCAGGGTGCTCACACAGCCCGGGTTTGTGCAGCAGGGTCAGACGCAGGAAAGGAGCTGAGCAGAGAAGGAGCACCAGAAATCTCCAGAAGTCTCTCTAAGTCACTCGTCAAATAATAATCTATACATGCACAAGGAGAAAATTCACAAAACCTGATGATAAACGAAACGATGCCTGGGAAGCTATGATTTTATCAGAGACCCTAACAGTCATTCAGAGACAACGGGGTTCTGATGAGCAAGAACAGCGAGATTTTCTGGCTACTAAGTGACTTAACAGGAGGTAGTGTGTACAGAATGGACATATGCTGGCCAAAGGGTGCCAGTGGGATGGAGCAGGACAGCGAGAGACTTTATAATGCTACTCAGAACACAGTACAATTTAAAATGTATGAATTGTTTATTTCTGGAATTTTCCATTCAGTATATTCAGTTACTATAGGTAACTGAAACCACAGAAAGCAAAAACCGCACATAAGGGGTGACTCCTTACAGTAATTGAACTGCCCACTGCAACAAAACTCTACAGTCACCAAAGGAATGCTACAGAATCTGGATACTCAATAACATAATATCCAAAGTATCCATCAAATAATTAAAAATTACTAGCCATCTAGAGGGAACTGTGACTCACAATCGGGAGAAAGAAAATCAGTCAGTAGAAAACAACCCTGAGATAACCCTGAGATGTTGAAATTAGAGATAAGAACTTTAGAGCAGCTATTATAACTATATCCAAGGGCCAAAAAAGGAAATATTGTTGTGATGAATATATGAAAGAAAATCTCAACAGAAAAAAATAAAATATGATCAAATGGAAATTCTGTAACACAAAGTACAAACTTAGAAAAGAAAAACTGCACTGGATCCAAACCCATAGAATATACACCACCTAGAGTGAAACCTATGTCAACTATGGATTTGGGGTGATAATGACATGCCCACGTAGGTTCATCAATTGTAGCAAATGTACCTCTCTGGTGGGAATGTTGATAGTGGGGGAGGCTGTGCATGTGTGGAGGAAGGGAGTGTGTGAGAAATCTCTGTATCTTCCCTTCAATTTTGCTGTGAACCTTAGCTGCTCTAAGCAAATACATTCTTAAAATTAAAAAAAAAAAAGTCAACAAGATATCCTGGATGAAAAATTTGGCAGATTGGTGATGTCAAAATGAAGAGTCAGGGAATTTAAAAACAGATAAGCAGAAATTATTCATTTTGAAGAATTAAGAGTGGTTGAAAAAACAACAAAATCTCCATGATCTGTGAGATAATATCAAACTGCCACATATGTGATTTGTGTCTCAGAAGGAAAGGTGAGAGAATAAAAAATAAAAATAAAAAGTTATGGTGCCCAGCCGGCTTGGCTTAGTTGTTGAGCTTGGACCTATGAACCAGGAGGTCACAGGTCGATTTCCGGGCAGGGCACTTGCCCAGGTTTGGGGCTTGACCCCAGTAGGGGGCGTGCAGGAGGCAGCTGATCAATGACTCTCTCATCACTGATGTTTCTATCTCTCTCTCCCTTTCCTACCCTCTCTCTGAAATCAATTAAAAAAAAAAATTTACAAAAATTTTTTTTTAAAAAGTTATGGCAAAAGTTTCCCCAAATTTGGGGAAAATAAACAGATCCAAGGAGCTAGACAAACAAAAGATAAATACAAAGAAAACCATGCCTTGGCCTAGTTATACTGCGAAACAGAAGAAAGTTTCGAAAGAAGGCAGAGGGAAAAATGACCCAGCACATACGAGGGGAGACATAATGCAGATGTTGGCTGCCTTTCTGTCAGAAACGACAGAAGCAGGAAGACACAGTAACATCTTTAAAGGACTGAAAGAAAAAATTCTAACTTAGAGTTTCATATCTAGTAAATAATGCCTGTAATACTAAAGACAAAATACATATTTCAATTAAAAGAAAAAAGTTGTGGCCCAGCCGCGCGTGGCTCAGCGGTTGAGCGTCGACCTGGGATCCAGGGGATCGGGGTTCGATACCCGGTCAGGGCACGTGCCCAGGTCATGGGCTCGATCAATGACTCTGTCATCATTGATGTTTCTGTCTCTCTCTCCCTCTCCTTTCCTCTCTCTGAGATCAATAAAGATATATTTAAAAAAAAGAAAAAAAGAAAAAAAGTTGTGGCCAGCAGATAGGTTCTGCAAGAAAGGGAGTTCTTCTGCCTGAAAGGAATTAGCACTGGGTGGAAGCTTGGATTTCGAAGAGGGAATGAAGAGCACAAGAAAGAATAAATATGTGGGTAAATATAAAAGACGATGGTGGTTTAAATCAATAATTTTAAGACTGCATGGAGAGGTTTATGACTAGGTAGATATATATGTCAACATAGCACAAAAGATGGTTGTGGGTAAGTGTCAGGATCCTGTTTCAAGGTTCTTATATGTTTTTTGAAGTGCTACAGTATTAACTCTAAGTAGGATGTTACAAGTTAAGATGTATGTTGTAATTCCTAAAGCAACCACAAAATAATGCCAAGAGGCGCTGATGAAAACTCAACAGGGTAATTAAAATAGAATGAACAGACACACTTTAACCCAAAAGAAGGCAGGAAAGGAGGAACAGAGAATCAATAAACAAACCAGACAAACAGGAAACAAATAACAAAACGGTAAACCCATCCCCAAGGGTACCAGCGATTGTATCAAATATAAATGAATGAAATACTCTAATTGAAAGTCAGAAAACTAGATAAAATAGCAAGGCCCAACTATATCCTGTCTACCAGAGAGGTACTTTCAAAAGGAGACACGGCCAAATCCACAACGAAAAGGAAAGGTTTTTAATTCCCCTCTCTCAGTAACTGATAAAAAATTAGACAAAAATTTAAGGATATAGAAGATCTGAACAATACTATGAACCACTCTGATCACATTTGAGGATGCTACAGCTGATATCTGAATAATAGACATAAAATAAGCCTCAAATTTCAAAAGATTACAATGTATGTCCTCCAACAACAATAGAGTTAATTTTGAACAGTAACAATAAGACATCTAGAGAAAACACATTTTTAGACTTGAAACAACCCATGAATCAAAGAGGAAACCATGAGGACAATTTAAAATATTTTTAAAGACATGATAGTGGAAACACAACATATCAATGTGTGGGATGCAGCTAAAGCTGTTTACAAGGAAATCTATACCTCTAAGGTGCTTGTATTAGAAAAGAATGATTTAAAAGTCAGTGATCTAATTTTTCCACCTTAAGACCGTAAGAAGCTAGAACAAGTTGAGCAAATTAAACCCATAGCAGAATGAAGGAACTATTAAGGATTAGAAATTAATGAAATATAAACAAATAGAATTTAAGAAGCCAAAATTGATTTTTTGAAAACATTAATAAAATCTATAATTACTAGGACAGACCTTAACTGACACACATAGATTCCCTTTACTAGACTTTCCAAATCTGAAGTATCCTGTAAATCAGAATTTTAGGTTTTAGAAGGTTCTGTCCTACTTATGTTGTGTATTATATTATATCCTCAGTGAGGTCTGGGTAACAATCTACAGCCAAACACATCAATATTTCTATAGTGAGATGCATAAAGTCACTTTAATAAGGGTAAAGACTATAAAGAGCCTCATCTCAATTTAGGTCAGGTTTTGGTGCCAAAAATTCCAAAACAAACTGGATATTTGAGGTCCTTTTTTAAAATTTCTGAAATGTAGAATTGCTATTGTGGATCTGTAATTAATTGATTACTTCATTTCACAGATAGGTCTTCTATATCCCTAAACATATGACAGTGCCTATTACTAAATCTTACGGAATGACTTTCTTAGCTAAGATCACAGGATGATTTTTTTTCCTCTTACAGCTTCCATGAGACTAGACGGTCAAAATATTTAGTAAATCTAATGAGCTTTGCCTAGATTTAAAAAGGATATTAAGGACTTCCAGGAAACTGGGCTGTTGGGCCAAAGAGGACAAGAATTTCAGGGAAAGAAGCATATTCTCTTCCAACATATAATTTTATAGTAAAATAACAAAGTCATCAAATTTCCAAACACAGAAGAGTAATAAATGATATATACAAAACTGAAAATATCCTTGGAATTCCACAAAACTAGCATTTGTACTTTCCATTGTAAAATTCAGGCAAGTTCGACCCAAAATATTATTTTAAGTCAACAATGAAAAAAGCGTAAATCATATTTCTAAAAGTAATGTCATGCCTTATTTAAAATGATCTTAGCAGAAAATTTATTGGTCCAATTCTCTCATCATTATCTCAAACTGGAGGGAAACCCAATTCTACAAACCTAATATTTAATTCTCAGAAAGACCATAACAGGAAGAACAGTAATGGAACAGTATTCACAGTAATAATTGCAGAATTTCCTTTAAAGCCCATGCAATACTCCTATAGGTGCTAGTTGGAGCCATGCATGCATTAAATCAGATATATGTACTTACTATTACTGCTACTGCTGTCATTCCTAAGGGAGTTGGCTGCAACAGGGGGTAACATAAATGGTTTTGTGACACTGACTCTGGAATCTAAATAGAAAGCAATAATGTGTCAGTGTTGCACGGCGATTTACATGAATTACAGAGTCCCCAAAAGGCCGAGTGCAATATCAGAGTACTTTGCAGGTTCACTTCCCAAATCTAGATGATTCAGATCCTATTTATTTCATACTGGGTCTTGTTGTTCTATTTTTATTACGAAACTCACCAGTGACCTTACAGAACAAAGATTCATTGCCTGTATAGGCTAATAAATGTAAGAAAATGAGACTTGTTCAGAATTGGTCATTTTAAAAAACAGCAATGTAATTAAGATTTTTTATTATCGGGACCCTGGGGAAGGGGATAAGGGAGAAAGAGATTCAATACAGAGTAACTAGTGAAGATCAGAATTCATGACTCAGAGTTAGACCCTTTAGGAAAAGATTTGAGAAGGGGACATTAAGAAGATGGGAGATGAAAAATAACATAATTGTAAATTACTGGCAAAGAGCCAATAAGAAAGATATGAGTGACTATCTCATTCATTGTTTACTCACACGCAGTTCTTTAATCTGAAAGCCATGAGTGTTGCTTTGGCTTGAAAAACAAATCTACAACCATTCATTTCTTTCATGCTTGATATTTGCTTTTATATTAGGCATAACGCACACACATCTGTCTCTAACTACACATATATTTGACTCAGAGGTAGATTCTTACTTACACATATAGAATAAGAATCAAGCTTGCCTTTTACAATTAGAAATGCTTATATGTCTTACCATTGTCAGGACTTAATGTTGAAGGAACCACACATTCACTAGTTTTAGATGACACCATCTCCAAGTTCTTGAAGGCATCGATGGATCTATTAAAAATTCTAAAGAATTCTTCAGGAGTAAACAGCTCGGGTACTAGGCTCTTAGATGACTTTTTTACATTCTAGAAGAAGTAAAAAAACAGGACTGTATTTTGCAAATCGTCTACAGATTTTAACTGATGTCAGAGTGGAAGACTGTCCTTCAAAGATTCAAGAAAAACAAATACTCTTAGATAACTGTTTCAACATACGTAATTCACACTGATACAGCAGGGCAGTGATCCCATCCAGTTCAGTCTGAGGCTCAACTCCAGATAAAAGGAACAGGGTGGGCAGTAGGGGTGAGTAGGTGAATTCAACATCAAACAATGAAATAATCCTAACAGCAAATTAGAGGCATTGCTCTTTAAACATGCTCATTTAAATCATTATTCCTTACTTAAAAAAAACCTCCATAACATATCCTCCAAATAGCCAAAAATTAAAAAGTCCGTTGATGCTAAATATTGGCAAGGACATGGATGGAGCTAAGGGGACTCATACACTGATGGAATGGTGTAAACTGGCACACATAATACTAGCTGGTAAAGTTGGGCATGTGCCCATCCTGTGACCCAGACATTCCACTCCTCGCTAGGAACTCCAGTGAAGCTTTTGCATTTATGTACCATGAGACACACAAGAAAGCTCTCTTACCAGCAGTGTTTACAAACACGTCAATCAATACGACGGTGGTTTAATCAATAGTGGTATGTTGAATCAGTGGAATACTATCTAAGCAGTAAAAAAACCCCACAGCTATAATGCATTAAAGTGCATAATAAATCTTATTAATATAATGCTGAGTGAAAGAAGTCACAAAAGAATAAAGAGTATGATTAATTTCTAAAGTCCTCCCAAAAGCAAATCAAAGCTGTATTTTAGGAAATTGGAAATGCATGACTGTCTATAAAGAAAAGCAGGCAATAATAAGAGTTCACACTTATGTAGCACTTACTGTGTACTTCTCTAAGTGCTTTACATATATTTACTCAATCTCCAAAATGACTGAGAAATACCACCTGGTATGAACCTCCTGGGTTCCAGCCAAAGCGTCATGACCACTAAAGGCACAATCTTTGGTATCTGGAAAGCTCTTACTGACATCACCATTTACTGAACACATAACTCATCTTTCAAGCTCCAATGCATATACTATTTCCTTTATGACACTTTGTCTGATATACTCTATTTTTTGTGACTTTGCTTCTCATCAATGCCATCGGCACACTATTTATACTAATATGATATAAAAAGAGATGTTAACTCTAAGATGTCATTGATTGTGAGATACGTTCTGACTCAGAAATTAGAAGTGAATAAATATAGTGATTAGGTTATTAGCCTGACAAGAATTTTGAGATTGGAGAACACAGATGGGACTGGTGTTGGGTCTTAAAATGTAACTGGAACTTCGATGAGGAGGAAGTATTTGAGTATTATGGTACAGAATCATATTTAAAATCTTAGGTTTAAACTTCTAAAAGGCCTGCAGGCTAAACCTTGGCTTGTGAACTCTATGCCAAAGCATGTCTCCCAAGACCTATTCAATTACGGATACAATGTTATAAAATCATCATAATAAAAATATTTATTAACATTTCTTTTGCCAGATTCAGTGCTAAAGCACTCATCACAAATCATCTTATGTCAACTCAACTGAAATTCAAAAAGCTAATTAATGACCAAGTCAGGATTTGGACTCCAACACCTTGTACTACACTTAGTCTCTAGTAGTGTCCTGCCTCTTCAACAGTACAGAACCCAAATCATTGCCATGCCCATTCTGAAGTTGGTAACAACTAATCATAAAATGACCTGGAGATGTGAAAATGCGCTTCTTTGATATGCCATGATTACTATGGATAAGAGGTAAAGTTTAAGTGTTCATTATATGACAATTTTCCATTTAAAGGTAAATGAACATTTGTAACCTAATAGGAAAGTTATGAGAATTTCACTCACTTATGAAATAAAGATAAAGTTGGGGCTGCTTTTACCACTGTTGTGTAAATCCATTTTTACATTAAATGGGAACTTTTAAGTCTTTTTTTCTTTTAATCCTTACCAAAGGATATCTTTTTCCATTGCTTTTGAGAGAGAGAAGAAGGGAGGGAGGGAGGGAAGGAGGGAGGGAGAGAGAGACATCGATGTGAGAGAGACACATCAATTGGTTTCCTCCTGCACATGCCCGGACCAGGGTCAGGGATCGAGCCTGCAACCAAGGCACATGCCCTTGGCCAGAATCAAACCTGGGACCGTTCAGTCCGCAGGCCAATGCTCTAACCACTGAGCTAAACTGACCATGGTACAACTTTTAATGTACATTTCAACACTGAAGTATAACTACAGACATCTATTTCTGTGTTCATCTTTCAAAATATTTTTAATTACAGATTTATACATTAAAAGTCACACAAATAAAAATGCCCCCACCCCTACCACCACAATCAATATAGGTTTTAGAGAAGAGTAGTAGAAACTAATCCCAATGGGTACAAACTTACCTCAAATAGGTGTCCTTCCATGCATTCCACAAGGTCGTCTACTATTTTCACAAGTTTGTCTATGATAGAATAATTACTCAAGCCTTCAGAAATATTTGAAAACTTATCCAGAAGATCCGTCAAGCTGACTGACAACTGTTCCACCATTTCGCTTATCCAACAATGACTAGGCTACAAGAAATTGAAAGGAAGATAAAGCATCCACTTTAAAAACAGCAAACTCGGAGCATCCTCCAAAGACATCAACGTCATTGGCTGCCTGACAAAAGATTTCCTTATATTAGAACAGGTCAGTTCTTGAATTAAACAGTTAATTCAGATCTAACATCTGTTTGAAAATGTACAAATGCATATAGATTAGAGGGAAGCATTGATGGTAAAGATTTCTCTCTTTCATGGAAATAAATTAAGAGGAGACAGAGCCAACTCTTAACCTTGACAAAGTTCAGCTATTAATGGAATTTAATGCCAATGAAAAATATTGCCTCTGCAGTCATTGTATTCTTAAAAGAGCTTTACTAACAGAAAATTATTGTGAGAGAGAGTCCCTAGCCCTCAAGGAACTTCCAGTCTTTTGGTGAACTGGAATATAAAACAGTAGACTAATAACAGCTGATTTTTCTAAAGTGTTTGATAGATTTCAAGCCTTCTTCATAGATGAGTTTAAGTTTAAAAAAAGGAAAACGAAAAACATCTTGGCAGAAACATGGTCTTGAGAGAGAAGCACTTTTGCCTTCCTGGAAGGACCAACTACGGCCAAGAGCAAAATGAAAATGTATTTATTATTCAAAAATTTGTTCAAAAAATGATTAAGAATTTCAAGATGGTGAATATTAAACCAAGCATGGAGCCCCACGCAAGAAGCCTGCCAGGCCCACTGATCAGAAGCTCAAGCACTGGAGTCAGTCACCCGGGTTCAATTTGGCCAAGAGATTCCAGGTGAGCTACACAAATTCTCCGAACCACGGCTAGCCCACAGATAGAATGGGGGTAATGAAACAGGGTCGTTGTGAGGTGACAATGTATATAATTTGTAAATAATTTGAATACAAGTTTCACCAGGGCAAAATTTTTGTAAAACCTTGATCCCCGCGGTGTCGCTGGGGCCCAGAACAGTGTGTGGCACACGGCAGTTGCTCAGGAACCACTTGCTGAACTGATGCATGAGTGAATAAAAAATAAGTGACTGAGAAAAAAATACATCAGGGACCACACTTTCTGCAAAGGGCTAGACAGTGAATACTTTAGGCTTTGCATGCCAAGAGGCAAAAACTAAGGATATTATGCAGGATGTTTATACAATAGAAAATGAATTTCTGCAAAATTTTTTATCACAAGATTAAAAATGTAATGATTGAATATGATTTCTTTTGCATAATAACTGAATTTCATTTCTTTTGTAATACAGGTATACCGACAAGAATGGAATTCTGTATTTGGGGTTCAACATTTTGCTTATTTGGGGTTCAAAGTCAGTATTCTCTATCACCATACAGACCACAAAATGTTCATCTATAAAAACCAATCTCGGCTGGCTGGCTCTACAGAAGCGTCTGACTGGATCTGGCCTATGCAGTACGGCTGCTGATCCTGCTATACATGGCTGGGCATCAACGGAGGTTGATTATTAGGGAAAGCTTCTTAGTATATTAGAATGGATTTTAATAGTTCTTAAATTAATGTGATGTTATTTAAAATTCATCACTGGTCATAAGTTCGTGTACCTTATATATTTTAAGATTATCTTCTCTGTAAGTAGAGGCTCTGATTTCTTTTTTTTAACTCTGCTAAAATATTACAGTGAGAAAAATGAGACAATTATTAGGGAGAGTTAAAATAGACTTGGCTTATTAAAATCCTAAATAACTGAATATACTTCTACTGTATTGGAATGAGAAAGAGTAACTAAGGCCAAGTAAAATGAATCAAACCACTAAATTTTATTTTTCTATTTACCAGCAAAGTATCACTGTGGGGGAAAGTCAAGTAATTTATTTATTCTAAATTATACAGTGGCCCCATTTTAGATTCATTTAACAGGACAATTTCAATTAATATACTACCGACAAAAAAGAAACTGGTTTATCTACAGATAGGTAAGCTCCAATTCCTGGAAGTTAATGAATGTCATTTAAAACTTTTAGGATTGGGAGTTGGGGGGTTGGGTGGGGGTTGAAGGAATTGAGCTAAAAAGAAAAAAAGCTCAT